TATTAATGACAGGTCATAAGTTTATGCAATATTCTTGCTCCTGAATTTTTTTGTGTTTCTTTTATATTAAGGTTAACATTTCATCTCTCCCTCTGGTTATTTATTATTAAGGCAAAGTAATTTGTGGTCTGCCATCATGAATAATTTCCTCTTGAACAGATGGGTAATAAGACAAGCAGATAAATGTGAGCATTTCTAAATGAGAAAAGACTAATTAAATCACCTGCTATATGAGTACAAACTAAATACCATATTATTAGACTAGGAGACAAAGAACAGTTTCTTTCAAACTGTAGGTAATAAAATGTGGCAAACTTGTTCTGTATTTTCTGGAGCCCTTAAGTAGATAAGCTTAGGTTTGCCTATCTGATGATTTTTCCAGTATGATAAACAGGTCTATCACATAGCCATTTTCATGTTATAATCTACCATTAAGGAGCAGTACATTTTAATTCTGAGATTCATAATTTCTAGCTTGAAAATGTTCGGTGATATAAGCCACAATTTTAATGGTAACACTGGTATCACAATGGTTAGAGATTATATAACCACAATGGTTAGAGATTATATAACCACAATGGTTAGAGATTATATAACTTTATATAACCATCTTCAGCAAAATATGCAATGCAACATGATTTGTAAGGTGCAATCATGTGGGTAGTCCTGGGGTTGCAGGCATGATGCTTTTACAAGACTGGCATGACAGTGAAATTTCATAGCATCTCCATGTGATGTAGAACTTTGCAGCATCCTTCAGTGGCAAGAAATACAAAACTATTTTTTGTGTGAAGAATAGTTGGGAGTCATCTGGGAAGGACCTGTTCCACACTGGTTAAAGGGATCTTGGTCTTACTGGAATCAAGATGAAAACAGTTTTAGACTCTGACTTGAGTTCCACTCTTAATTTTTACCAATTATTGAGCAGAATTTTGTGGAAACTCAGTGAAAGCTGTAATTTAGGACTCTTTTAAAACCACATAAAAATTATGTTACTTACTATTTATTGGGAGATTAAGGACCAAGTAAATTAAAAAGACTGTGGAATAGAGCTCAACTGCTTCTCTTTTGAACAAAGCACTTATCACAATCCACAATCATCTTCATTATTTAATCATTTATATTTTACGATCTGTCTTCCCCTCCCACATAAACAATAACACACATTTTGCTAAAGGCTTTATCCTTGCCATACTTTGTCAGCACTGAATTCCCAGAGCCTGGAAACAAGCCAAATAAATGGTAAGTACTCACTAAGTGAATATTACTCCATTTCTCAACTAATCAATACAGTAATATTTATCCTGAAGATTAAATGAGATCTTATGTGCTAAAGTATTCTGGCTTTTAAAAGAAATATCTTAACATTTCTGAATCTTTTGTAAGATTAAATGATGGTTTTTTCAAGAGAAAAACATGCATTCATTTTATAAAATAAAATAAATATTTTATAAATAGGGCACATATTTAACCTACTTTCAAAAAAAGAATTTGCAAAGAAAGTAAGTCATTCAGGTCTCCAAGTATAAACGTTTTTTCCATTTAACTATTTCAATAATCTATTACTCAAAAGTATAAAGAAAGTCATATGTTTACATATATATCTAATACTGATAGTAACTTTAAATTATAGAATGTTGGGATGGAAAAGACCTAAAATATTAACTAGTTAAACCTTGAATTCTGTAGAAACTTGAAATGTAGAAGCAGAGGATCAGTGACATAGAAGAACTGCCTCAACTATAGATCCAGGGAAGGGCAAAAGGACCTCAACCTTTAGAAAAGGTTTTATGCAATTCATCTGTAAAAACCACTTTTTTCCCTCTTTGGTAGGTTACTTTACATGAGACTGTTCACGCCAATGACACAGCTAATACTCTCAGATAGGTTTTATACTTTTAACTAATATAAAAGTACAAAAGCGTAATGATTAAGATCTGATAGAATACAAAACAGATACTTAAGCAAAAATCTCATCTGAAAAAAAAACCATGAGAAACTAAGAATTCTTAAAATAGGAACCATGAAGGAAATCTACAACACTCAACTGTGCCATTGGCCTGGTAGAATCCTCTATAGCACTTGGTACAAAAGAAAAATTTATTATATCTACCTCAAAGTAATAATCAGCATGCCACATCAGGAAAAGCACAAATCTGGGATCAGAAAAACTTTAACTTACATGCAGCCAGTCTACTAATTTCAGGACAGTTATTTAGCCACAATTCTAAAGTAGGAAGGCTAATGCGTATATTTCAGGCTCTTTAAAGATGAAATGAAATAACATTTGTAGAATGTCTGACTCAAGGAGGCACTCAATAAATGTGACTCTGGTAGACTGTTGATAGGAGATGAAATAAGGATCAGTTATCCACCATAAAGCAAGCACTATTGAAGCACCCAATCAAATAACAAATTACATATGGAAAGGAAAGTAATCCATATTTGCTTGAATTGTCCAACTTAGCTGTTCCAAATTTTCTAGAGGAAGAGGGGAGAAGTGATAATAACTGAAAGTATTGTTATATAGCTCTCAATTTGTCTTTCCCACTGTGATACACTTAATAGATGGTGGTTATATGTGTAACTCATTCCTGTGTGTAAGTTCTAAAAATAAAAGTAATTCCATCTGTTTCTATCCCACTCAAGATAGGCTATTGCAACACAAGTGAGCTTGGCATTATAACTGAGGTAGACTAGAATCTGTTCTAATGTAACTTAAATGATTTGCAAATGTATGTAATTTACCTATCTTTAATTATAAACGTATTTGAATAGATCACATAATGGGTCAAGATTCAAACCTATCATTTCACAAATTAATAGAACAAGACCCAGAGGGACTAAGTGACTGACTCATAGTCAAACAGCTAATCTATGGCAAGAACAAACCAAATTCAGAGTTCTTTCCACACAAATTCTATCAGGATCTTAATTTCTAAATGACTGTGTGTTCCTCAATGCCTTCAAAGTACACATTTCTCTGCAGTTGAAACCTAAGGATTCCATGATGTTTGTTATTTTTGATATGTCTAAAAGGCATTTCCTAGAGTGGTAGACATTTGGAGGATTTGTCTATGTTTCACTTTACTCAACACAAAACTACTAAGGCCAACATGCTCTAGGTCTGGGGATCTAGAAAAGAACTAAACAAAATGTCTGCTTTCATTTCTATTGGGAGAAATGAATGTAAAATAAAATTACATTAACCAGTTAAATTTAAAATTGAGTATTTGAGTTAGTGATAGTGTTATACAAGAAAATAAAGCAAGAAAAGGATGGCACATGATGGAGGACAAGAACAGAAAAAAAATAAAGGAGGCACCATGAGACCAGAAACCTGGCTCACACAAAGAGGTCAGGGCAGAAGAGATTAGCATAACCAGTTGCAGAAACTAGTATCCCGAGACACAGGCAAGGTAGACACTAGTATCCTGAGGCTGGGTCAACACTAGTATCCCAAGGCACATATAAAGGCATATATAAAGATATGAAGATTGAGCCCAACAGACCCTAAAGGTAAAGATATGGAGCTTGAGCCCATTGTAGAATCTCCTCCCTTTTAAATTCTACATAGTTATCCAAAATTAGCAACCAACTGAGGACTCACAGGGAGTGACCTCTCCCAAACAGAAGAAGACTATATCAGTGCAGTCTCTGCACAGGCTCTGGGCAGCACTTCCTTCCCCACCTGTGACTATGCAGGTGATTCTTTTCACCAACTCTCTCCTCTGTAGGGCAGCAGCCTTCCAGCCTGCCCATGACCTGTCAAGATCACCCGCCTGCAACCATGCAGGCCTCTCTTAGCAAACCTGTTCCTTCTGGGGCAGCTCTTCCTGCCCACTTATGTCTATGCAAGTGTCTTCAACTGTTTTATCCCTTCCCTAATAAACCTTCCTTTAAAATATAAATAATGTGTCTCGTGGAGAAACTCGCTGGGAAACTTGCCACGTGTTGCTGAAACGGGAGCTCTGGTGAAACCTTTCCCAGAGTGAACCCAAGGACCCTGCACTCCAAATCCACAGACTCCAAAAAACCACAAAAGCACAAGAATAAGTGGGAGGGGGTGCAATTAATGAACAGATGCATTTATTACATTGTCATTTGATAAAGAGAGACAGTGGACTGAGGAGTAGTGAGTCCTAAAACATGCCTAGTCATGTCAGTGAAATAGCCATCAACTGTGTTTTCTCCCTATGGAGCCTCCATTTTACTTATGCAGTGATACGTTTCACCAGAAGGAAAACCTGCCTCATGATCTGGCATGGAGGAAAATCAAATCCTGGTCATAACCCTTAGAAAACATAACATGGCAGGATTAAGGTCAAACTGTTTTAAATGTTCTCCCATATTCTTTATATTCTTTATTTTTCTATGATTTACTATTATATTTACAATATTTAAAAAACATTTGCTTTATTGTAAGCTTAGAACACTGTACTGAATAGGTCTTTGATTGGGTGTATTCTCCTGCTTTCCCCATACACTATGGACACTGCACAAAATGAAGATACAATGTGATATTCAGAGAGCAATGTGGATGCTTTTTGCTGCTTCAGGGATTCCAAAATTAGGTTTCAAGATTTCTTTAGTCTTTTTAAACATTATTCATTTTAATCATTTTCTAACATTCATTAGAGTATATATGTTTTTTCAATGTCATCTTTGTTGCCAAATAAATATCTGCCTTCCCAGTGATATGACTCAATGTCATTGTGCACAATATTAAGATCTGTTAGATCTGTGTAGGAGAGAAAATAAGGTGAAAATGAGGATATTTTAGTCTAATGTAGGAGGGAAAGTGGGGTCTCCCATGCTGTGATTGGTAAGCACTAGTAAATATTCGCAGTGAGCAAAGAGGATATAAACGATGTTTTTGCTTATTTGTTTTCTTGTTTTTAGTCTTTCCAATGGTGCAGAAACAGAGAAAGTCATTTGATAAGTTATGAGACTTTATCTAGGACAACCTCCCCATTTAACAAGATCGGATGAGCACTTACTTTCAATTGCCTTGATTTTATTTTCCCAGGGGATACAGGCAGCTTTGAAGTTCTCAAAATCACGACGAAATTTTGCCCATTTCTGAAAAGGAAGCCAAGTACAACAGTAAAATCCAACTTCTTGGTTGTCAAGAAAATCATCCTCCACCCCAGTTCCAAAATATCTGGACAGTGAGCTGGGAAAATTTCTCTGGGGCCACTTGTCGCTCATTATAAAAAGGAAAAAACAGCCAGTTTCACTTGCCTCCCTGTTTCCCACCAATCCCCCAGACCAATTTAATTAATGTTTATTGAATCCCTTGGTTCACAGAAAATATGCTGACCAATGATGGGGGAAGCAAAGAGCAAGTGGAAAGTAGCCACAATAGACTGTAATGGCAGACTATGGGTTCCTTGGGCAGTAGGTGTGGTGAGGTAACTATACATTTAAAGAGGTGTGATACTATATCTCTGAATCATATGCAGTGTTGTAAAACAATGCTACCTCAATAAAAAAAGAAATATCTGCTTTTTTCTGCTATAAAATTAGAGATCAGGAAAAAAGTTAATAATTTACATGGTAATCATTAAATGGTATATATTTATTTAAATACACATTGCATAAAGAATTAATGAAATATGAATAAGACTTAAGTTCCTGCCTTGAGGGGCTTCTGGGTCTACTAAAGTAGATTGCATATACTCAGGACATTTCAATGCTGGACAATAAGTGCTATGACATGGGATATTTTTCATTCTGGTAAAGGCAGAATATCTGTTAAATGGGATGGCCTAGTATAATAAGAAAGGGAAAAAGAAAAAATATCATAAATCAATTTTTTTAAGAATTTATTTATTTATGCATACAAGAGCTGAGTTACAGGCCAGAGATGCAGGGGGTGAGAGGATTCACCAGAGACACAGTGGGGAACAGAACAGGCAGATTGACTGACATACAATGCTGAGGGGAGTAGCAGGCGAGTCAGGAGCAGTCTGCTGCACCATGTGGGTTGCTCCCTGGCAGGCCTGGGATCGAACTTGTGCTACAGAGGCTGAGGATTGCTTTATAGTGTGGTGCTTAACCCCTTGTGCCACCAGGGAGGCCCCATAAATCAATTTTCATAAAAGTTCTTCCTTCTGTGTTTACACCACAATTTTGGGCAATGGATGGTCAAGAGGAACACTAGGAAGAAAGGGACTGGGGCAGTTAATGATGCATGTGCAGATCATGCTGGAATAACGCATGAGCTGGACATGTAGAATCCATATAACAGTAAGAGAAAAGCCTGAAGTTCAAAAGATTACTCAAGGGCATCCCTGGTGGCACAGGGGTTAAAGACAGCACTATCAAGCTGTCACCAGCCACTGCAGCATGAGTTTGATCCCTGGTCTCCCAGGGAGCAACACACATGGCACAGAAGACCTTTCCTGCCTCGCCTGCTGCTCCCCTCAGCAGTGTATTTCAGTGGATCTGCCTGTTCTGCTCCCAACTCTCTCTGGCAAATCCTCTCACCCCCATACTTCTGGCTTACATCCCAGTTCTTGTATGCATAAATAAAAAAAAAAAAACACATCAAAAGATTATTCAAACTTGAACCAACCCATCTACAATAGAATGGATAAATAGACACAACGGAATGTATGTATTCATACAATGGAATAGACATCAATAAAATGAACTATAACATAAAATCTCACAATATAGATTTATTTCATGAATGAAATACTGCATCAAAGAAGCCAGTAAGAAAAACATAAACACTATATGGTTCAACTTATTTAAATTGTAAAAACAGATAAAAATAATCTATGATTTATATCTATATGAAAGATATAGATTTATCTTTACATGCATATATTTCACATACATAGGAAAATTAAGATACATGAACTCTATTCATAAAACTCTCACCTTTGTAGGAAAACATTTACAGGACAGTGGTTTAACATGTGTGGAGGGGGGAATAATAATACCTGATTAGCCATGAGAATATGAAAACTTTATAGGGTTCAATTCAGTGCTTGGCACATAGTAAGTGCTATATAATGAGTGTCTTTTAAAAAAATTACTTATTATTATATGATTTGTTTTTTCTTATTTTCTATCCAATTTATATCTATGTTCCTCGTAAAGAAGAGCTATATGATCCTCTAACTTACAGACATTTTAGGAAAGAAACCTTGACTCAGAACACCTTAACTTCCAGGAATGAAAATGGAAAGAGCAGTTTTTTACATTTGGAAGTGATAAAATCACCCAAATCAGATGTCTTTTGTCATAAATCCATGTTTTTCAACTTACTTTAACTCTTCCATAAAACCCTTTTGGATAACTTTTCCTCTGAGCCCTCCCTCCCCCCAATTTTAATATCACAGATATATTGTGTATGTATAGCTGTGCTTCATATATAGGGCAAATTTTTTTTTCACTCTCTCAGAACAGACCAATTTTCATCCCCTTGGAGATAACAAAGTCTCCACTGAGACCATATAGCATAAACCATGCTGCATTATAAAGATACTTACCTTAGCCATCATCATCTTAAATGCAAACCACTTCTTTCCTTTTCCTTTCCCAAGAGCCCCTTCATTTTCACTCACAAATTTTTTTGCTTCCCTAAGAAAATAAAACAAAATTAGGGGAAGTTGTGGGCGGGATTAAAATAGACTATAGAGATAGTAGATATTTAATTGGAAACATTTCTTCTTGACAATTGGAGATCCTTGAAAAAGTGAATCTAAGCCATATTTCATAACTTAGGGACTTGCAATAGATGTTTTAAGTTTTTTAAATTCTAGTCAGGAAGACTAAAATATTTTAACTTCATTTATTAATTCAGTTGGAGTCATCAAAAAGCAAGGAATCCATGCTAAGTCACAAAACAGAGAACCTTAGATCTCTTTTCTACCACATATAAAATTGAATCTGAAATTCACTTCAGAATCTGGCAGACAGAATGTTCATTTTAAAATACTTTCTTTGCTTCTTTTTTAAGAATTACTTTTTTTTTTTTTAATAGGGCAGAGAGTTTAGGGCAAACTGACACAGAACACACTTCCTGACCTGGCATCTAATCTCATAAAAGCAATTATGACTTAAAACGGAAAACTCATATAAAGCAGATAGAGTTGCAGGAAGACGGAAAAGGGGACTATTTGTTAGAATAATTCAGAAAGGGCTTCAATTTAAACTTCAACATGAGCCCCCAAAATTTGTACGTTTAATAGTCATGTGACTGTCTTTGTCTATGGAAAAAGCACGAATTCATCAAAACAGATAATGTCAAATATACTACAATTTTTGTAACCTTGTTTGGCATTTTTATTTTTATTCATTTAATAGATAAAAAAGAATGTTAATTTTTTTAAAAAAAGAAACAACCCAGGTTTTTCTAAACTCTCAGGATCTGTAGAGGGTATTATTACATAGTGAGAAGAACAGATAGCCCAAACCTGAACTTCAATTCTATCATCAGGTGGATGGCCTCTAGCATGTATGGCTTTATAGGCAAGGATCTTCCAGACATGACTATAATTTAAATGGCCAACACTGGAGTAAATCTTTGAAAATGAAGGGGTGGTGAAGAATCTTTGGGTGAGGTGTTTCTTAGTATCAGTGCAAAGCTAAAGATTGCACAGTATCAGTGGTTGAAACACAACACATAAACCTGCTGACTTAGCCTATAGTAGATTGTGCTGATCTTTCTTCACCTGGGCCCGTGTACCCACCCACACTTGCCAGAGAAACACAAGTATAATTGAGAAGACTCTTCAGTCACAGACACCTCCCTCAAGCAATCACTTGATGACAGGGATAATGGTTTGTCCCTTTGTATCGTCCACAGCAGTAATCATGGGAGGTGCTTAATAAGCCTACACCTTCTGGAAATGGAGCTGAATGGCACAACTTGGAATAGTTACAAACAGAAGAGTATATCCAATCACTGTCTTGTCCACATCAATGAATGCTTGAAAGCAGAGCTATTCCTAGTCTTTGGAATTGCATTTGTCTTCATTAGTTTTCTCAGAAACTTATGGAAATGAAGAAGAGTACTGTCTTTGATGTCAACCATCCTGACATTTGAAATGTCAGGGCTGTGAAGATTAATGGAAAATCAGTTTCTAAAACATTCTACACATTCTAAATGTTCAATAATACTACATCAAAGTATAAACTGAATGCTCACAGCTGGATTTTTAGAGTCAGTCAGTCAAGGAAAAGCACATTTAAGCACTTACTATGTTTCAGAGATGGTAAGACAGGAATGTGGCACCTTGTAGACCCTTTACAAAATGTTAAACTGATGTAAACTAAGAATCAAATAACTGAAGTTCTACCCCAATATCTTCAATTTGTCTCTGTGACCTTGCCCACATTTTTTATATTTTCTGTCTCACTCTGCAGGGGGAAGCATACTTTCCCAGGGCTAGCCCACACCTGAGGAAGTTCTGGCACAGGTTCTCTATATACTATGTGACTTTAACAGACAAATATTCTCTATCAAACAAACAAAAATCAGGTCATTGCCTCCCTGCTCGCTGGGGTGGTGGCAAGAATAAGGTCAAACTGATGTAGGTGAGAATTACTGTCACATGATTCATAATTTGAACATAACACAAGGTTTGTGTTTGCTTATGTGTGATTTTATCTACAAAATACACTAGGTGAATGCTGAAAACTGCTGTATCCTGCAAAACCTAGCAGGAGTACACAGCTATTCTTCATTCATATCACGAATGTTAAAAAAGACACCTCCATTCACAGCTGCTGTTCCAGAGACCCTCCTTCCATGCTTCACATATGACTTAGCTCACAAATTGCAATGCTGCTGAAGGTCATTTCTATAAGCAAAGTTCAGGTCTTTTTCAAGGTAAACTGTCAAATTTATTGTAGTATTTATGTATTTCTTAAACAAGTAGCATGTAAAATATTGCTACCATTTTGTAAATTTTTATTCTTTCTAATGTGTCACTGATGATGTTTCTAAAACTTGTGCAGCTATCCTAACTATTCCTATAAATTCTGGTTTTCAAGTCCCAAACTATTTTGGATAGTTTGGTAAATTTTAGAATTGATGATAATTAAGCTATTTGTTTGGGACCAACAATTTTGAAATTCACAAAACCAAGTATCCATAAGAATTATGACATCATTCTCTAGTATAATATACACATCCAGAGAACCAAATCATCTTAGTAGTAAAATAAAAATTTGTGTTTCAAATGTAATGCAGTGTTTTCTTTATAAGCATATACACTACTATAGATATTTAGCAGATAATTTAAAAGACACTCAGATTGACCTATTAGAGTGATGTTACTTTCTAGATGAGTGACCAATTAGAAAACATGACTGTGTCAAGCAGTCAGAAGATTAAGGAAATAGCTATTCTGTTCCAAAATTTCTGACAAGATGTTTTGTTTGTGAGCTAATGATTATGTTGCAGGAACACTGAACTGGCATGATTCAAGAGGAAGAAGAGAAGGGGCATAACCAAGTGAACATCAATACAGAAATAATTACAAGTTCATTTAATACTATGAAACCTGTCTACACAGTATACATAAGGGTTTTGTCGGTTATTGTACATATAATTTTCCTTTGAACAATCGAACTGGGTTTTTATTGTTTCTTCAAGTGCCAAGTTTTTCCTGATGTTAGGCATAGCTCATACTTCTTTCCCGACTATGCCCCATCCAGCCTCAATACACATATCCTGACTTAGGTTTTCAGATTAAAGTATGGACTTCACCATACTCCACATAACCTCAGGTGTTAATTTCTTCACTTCCTGAATGTCCTCCCAAGTTTCATACTAAAGAGTTCCCTGAACCACTGTTCTAACAACTCCTGCTCCATATTGGCCAAAATAACTACTACATGAAACCCGTCAGGAATCTAGAGGTGACTTTAAAACAAAGCCATAGGTGGGCAGAAAATAATTGCTTAGCCAGAACAGATTCTTGATCCCCCTAATCTATGTTTCTGGGACATAAGGAAGCTTTCTTAAGCTTGCAGGTCTAGTAGTGAGGAACTGGGCAGGAAGGGTCAATAAGTCACTCATAGAACTCCCTTAGCACTATTTTCAGGGCTGACCTCTGCTATGAGTTGGCATGATTTCAGATGGAAGAAAACTTGCATCACCCAATACCATTTCCCCTGATAACAGATTTCTTCACCGGAAGACAATTTCTCTCATCATGCTATTACAAATATAAAAAGAAAATATCTAATATGGAGATAAACACTAATACCTATGACACTGAAGTGTCCATGACAGAGATCAAAATGCAATAAAATAAAGAGCAAGTTCTGTGCAAACAATCAAAAAAAAAAAACAAGACATTTCTTGCCATTTTTTCCTGTGGTTAATCTATTTCCTACCCATTTGTACTTATCTAAATCATTTAAAGGTTTTTTGTTTTTTTTTTTTTCCCTACAAGGTAAAATGAAATGGGTTTTTTGGATAAATTTTGAATGTCTACTGACCTCAGAACTTCCAAAAGTCTGGCTGAAAAATGTGTCTCATCCTCCTGAATTGCATTCACCAAAAGCTGCCTGCCAAGACTGTAATCCAGTCTCAGAGCTCAGAGCTCAAGCTGGCCCTGGCACAATATGCACAGCTCTCTGAGCTGTAACCCCAAACCTAGGGATAAATAATTGAGGGGGGTCTATTTAATGACAATAATACCTGGCCTCATCATTCATTTATCAACCCCTTGTTTTGGTAATTAGAATAATAAGGTTCAAGGACTTTCAAGAATACTTTCACAGTTTGTAGAAGGAGCACACTTTGGTCTAACTGACAAAACAGATAATTTACCAACACATGATACAATCTTGATTGCACAGGAGAGTTAGGACATGCTATGCTGCCCTTGACACATTCTCATCCCAGGAAACATGTTCTGCACTTGGGTTAGGTTAAGTTGACTTTTCTTTCCTCTTGTTTTCAGTTTGATAGTTTGATTGAGCAACCAGTTTATTGCTCAAGTGAATGAAAGACATTTCAAAACTAGTCTTTAAGGCAACTGTGATCCAAATGTATGCTCATGAGCACTTCCCATAGAGTGATAAGAAGAATAAGTATTGTTGTCCTAATCAAATTTAAAAAACATTGACCATGTAACTTGAAACTCTGCTTTTTCCTAAAATACTGACTAAATAAGAGAAAGGTGCAGAGTTAAATAGCTACTCTAACATGCAGAAACTGTAGATAATATAACTACATACTTGTCTGATAGAATGATTTAAAAATATCCTTCCTAATACTGAATGTGACAACTCAAACCATGTTTTCATAGAGGGGATCTCGTAGATATAATAGTGAAGATGTTCAGTTGCTTCATTCTATAAAATAGTTAATAACAGCTACAATTTAGGAATTTAGGGTGTTCCATCGGAAACACTGCATGCGATGTGCTTGACAATAATGCATGTACTGTGTCTACGGCAAACAGTAGGGCACTAACAGTAGGAACTATTATTAATAGCAATAGTACTAGAGGGCTGACTTCAATTTTAATGTTGAGTTTCCAAATTATGAAGCTAAGAAAGGGACAAGACACAGTTTCAGGCAAACCTATCTCCCAAAAAGGTCAATCCTTTTCTCCTGA